TTGTTGTACTAAAAGATTTCTTTGTGAAAAGCCTGAAGTAATTTCTTACAGCAAGAGCAAGTATATTTGAACAACTGGCAGAAAGAAGTATGTCCACAGGTTATGATCACCAACAGCAAAGTCAAAATCAAAGGGTGAGACAGTGTCTCTTTAGAGCGCTTATGCATTTAACTGATAGCATTTCTCTGCGTAATAACCCATGAAGACATGGCCGAGAGAAGGGAAAAGTCGTATAGATAATGTCCTGTTCATAAGCTCCCTACTAAATAAGAGATATGTCTTTATTTGAGCAAAGCTGATGTGTTCTTGGATCTGTCACTGAAAGGATTATTCAAATCTGTAGTTTGTCAGGATTAACATACGCTTTCTCATTCCTTTCCCATCAGAAGTGGTAATCGACAACTTTTAGCAAGGAACAGTGTATTAGTCTGTAGTTGGATAAGTCCAGTTTACAATTACTTATTTCACTTATCGCATGTAGGGGAAGATTTGCTGGTGTCTTGTTTTCTCAGATCTCATTTTTTACAGAAGTGCAGCCAACATACAATCTATTTTAGAACTGGCTTGGGAAAAAAACGATTTCTCATCTGAGCTGTACTCCCCCAAATGATAGATTTGGGGACCATTACTATTACCAGTCATTTCATAAAGTGTTTGGAGAACCTCGTCTCGACAGAGGTAAACAGGTCACAAACCTACCATCTAAACTCTAAACGATCACAAAGTGATTTACAGTTCTGGCGTTGAGTGCTTCACCAAATGGTTGTACTAAAGAGAGTTATTTGCACAATACATTCTTCTGGGATTTGACGAAAGAGTTTGTATAAAATAAAGACTGTCCCAGGCTTGGGCACAAATCTTGGCCCAAAGCATACATTTTCGAAGGTCAGAAAACTTTGAATAACTTAGTTTTGTTATATTCAGACGTGCCTTTGTACTTCTAGTAGAAGGCAGGAAAATCAATGCCATGAGAAAAGTCCATTATTTAAAAATGAACTCACCAGGAACTCCAGACAACTGGAATCCTTCCAGTACAAAATAATCCATCTTCTCTCTTCTCTGTGCTCCCCCCTGCCCCCCCCCCCCCCTCCTCTCTTTCTTCTCTTATGGCCACCCAAAAATACACAGCTGCTTCTTGACTTCCTTGAGAATGCTGGTGAACTTCCCCTTCGTAGCAAACTGCTCCCTCGTTCCCATTAGTGTAGGAGGCACTGCTCATCCTTTTTCTCTGCAGATGTGAACTGAAGCGACGGTCACCTCTTGTACGTGCTTCATCACAGAGCAAAGCATTAAAAAAAAAATACTAAAAGGTGGAATAAAATTTCATCTATCCACTCCTTAGTGTCAGAAACAGGGAAATGCAGAAAAATGATACTTTATATGTTTGCTGGCTTACAGGAGGATTAGAATTTATGGCTTTCAACTGTATATTCAGAATCTGCAGATAAGTGGTTAGTTGTCCAAAAGTTTCTATGAATGTAATGATGAATTAGAAAGTCAAAAAATATTTTGAGACTGTATTGCTGACAGCAAAATATTTATTTGATATGATTATGCTCCAAGAATAATCTCATTTTTAATACATCTTTACAAATTTCTGTTTAAAAATCCTCAATGGAAGATTCTTTTCTTCTTAAATCTCACCTCCTCTGCGTATATTGTATTCCCACTAGTTTCTTCAGATCCCAGTTGCTGGGTCCAGTCTTGCAAATGAAAAATCAATGGATGTGCTCCAGTTTGAATATTCAGAAATGATGATAGGGGAAACCTCATTACAGCCCTCACTACAGAGCAGTAGGTTTATAAGACCCTCACTGCTTGGAAAAAGATCTGTTCCCATCACTTCATCAATTACAGATTCCATGTTGCAGATAGTCCTGAACTTCTGCTGGGCATTTAAAACAGGAAGGAGCAATATTTCTACGGGTTTGCCAACACCTTTCATTTTGTCCAAAATGCATTAGGCTACTTCTGAATATCAGCTTAATGATCTAAACTGGCAAAATTGGCATACCAGGTGCTCTTGAGGAAGTTAGTAAAATGTGCTGAAATGCCTTCTCTGGGTGAGAAGCTGGCATTCTTGCAGGGCATAAATTAATTCACATTAATTTTTGAGTGAAGGAGACACTTTTCAAGTCTGTCTTTTCTCTAAAGGGAGCAATTCCTGAAGACAGAGATTTTGGGTTGCTTGGAATCTTTTATCTTTTCGATTAAGGCATAACAAATGAACAACTAGATAAAAGGTAGTTTTCCTAAAGTTACTTGATCTTTCATAATATCTATTAATCGTCATGTACAGTACATCTTTCCATCTTAGGCAGGCTTCAGGAGATGCTTTCAAGGTAGTTTCCCCATGTAGCAGAGAAAACAGCTGAGCTGTAATGTGACATGAAAAATGGGACAGCATTTCAGAACAGGAAAAGTTGCAAAGAAGTAAATATATTTTATTTCTCCCTGCCTATTTAGAAGCCAATAGATATAGTAGTAATGCTTACTTGAATATTAAGATTTATAGAGAAATGTCAGTGAGGAATTGTATTTAAGTATAACTAAACAACTACCATGTGGAATTGTAGGGGGAAAGACTGTTGCTAGTATATTGTAAGAGTGAAACTAAGGCTGTAATGATTAGCAAAGCAGAACCAACCTCAGAGTTCTCGTCTAAATGTCGTTGCTAGTATATTGTAAGAGTGAAACTAAGACTGTAATGATTAGCAAAGCAGAACCATCCTCAGAGTTCTCGTCTAAATGTCATTTGACAGTAGGTAACCTTACAAAGTAGTGCTTTTTCAATTATCACTGAAGTTTTGACTCACCAGCTAGTGAGTGTCATCCTAAGGAGCATTTCTGCTACTGGTGCATATTCATTAAATGAGATGCTTTAAGCTAACAGGGTGTGCATGTTGTCAAAGCTGAAGAGAGGTTAGATTGAAATTAATAAAACTAAAATTGGATCACAGCTTTTAAATGGAATTTTGGGGAGGGTTGGTTTTTTTTGGGGGGGAGGAGGGGGGGTGGCTTGGTGGTGTGTATTCCTGCCTTGTTTTGGAAGGGATTACCTGATCAGTTAATTTACAGATGTCAGATATACAACAGACTTCCAAGCAGCAAGTCTGTAGTTATTTCCAGCACCATTGTGTCTGGAAATCCCTATTTGTGGGAAGGAACTGGAAGGTCTGCTCCTTAATTTTCACCTTTATGGCCACAAACCACTCTATTCCAGTACATCTGGCCTTCTATAATGGGGTTACAGCATTGGTGAATAAGGGAAGAGCAACTGACGTCATCTACCTGGACTTGTGCAAAACATTTGACGCTGTCCAGCATGACATCCTTGTCTCTAAATTGGAGAGACATAGATTTGATGGATGGACCACTCGGTGGATAAGGAATTGGCAGGACGGTTGCACTCAAAAGAGTTGCAGTCAATGG